AAGTTTTAGCCGGAAATTATTGAAAAACCGTTTGATCCACTTTCGTGCAAGTTAAATAATGGTATTGCTCACAATCCTAGCCTTACATTTTCCATATTTCATTCAGTTTTTTTAGTTTTTTTTTTAGGAAAATTTAGGTAAAAAATTAATACGGAAATCTCGTAATAAATACACACTAATTTCTGACTATAAAAGGAAAACTTACTTTCAGGATGCATTAAATAATGATACTGTTCGTTGACTTCCAAAGTTCGGAGAGAGAAGATAATGCTTAAATTCTGATTGTTTCAAGTTTTAGCCAGAAATTATTGAAAAACTGTTTGATCCACTTTCGTGCAAGTTAAATAATGGTATTGCTCACAATCCTAGCCTTACATTTTCTATATTTCATTCAGTTTTTTTAGTTTTTTTTTTTAGGAAAATTTAGGTAAAAAATTAATACGGAAATCTCGACAAATACAAACAAATTTCTGCTAAAAAGTCAAATTTATGTGTTCCATTAGAATAATCGATAATCGAGAAAATGTCGACTTGTAAAACCTTTGCATTCAATATTAGTTTTCGACTTCTTACTTGTCGAGAAAATCGTTTAAATCTAAAGACACAGACACATTTCAAACTGTCTTTCATTGTTGTCTTGCATATACGGAAAAGAAACACATAGTAAATTAGATTACAAGAAGGAAGGATTTAACATATCATCGTTAACGCGTTTTTTTATCATCATCCGCGACAGTTTAATTGGATAAGAGGGGAACAAGTTTCGTATATATTTCTTGCATGCAAAACACGTAGCAGACAAGAAGACATAGGATATTATCCTGTGTCGTATAAAACCATCTCCGAGAAGACAACTATTCCGAACTATCATCACCATAAATTGATCAGCAGTAATTAATTGGAAATCTGGACCGAAACCAGAGCAAAAGGGATTTTGTGTGTGTGTGTTTCGTAATGAGTGCGAGAGGGACGAGAGATTTTCGCAATTGCATTGTGCAATTCGGTTTTGCGGCTGCTGGCCCTTCGGGCCTTGCGTTCATCCGGCCGCGGCTCGCATAGTTATCGGCCATTGTGGCCGTCTTCCATAGCTGTAACCGAAAGGAATCCTTTTCAGAACCAGCCACCGCAGATATCCCCTTTATACTTCTATCCAATTTCTAAACATTCAACATTAGAGACTTCAAAGAGAGAAAGATACAAATATAAAAAAAATATAGAAACATTATTTGGATAAAATCCTAGATTTAACTTAAATCTTAATTAACTTCAAATGGCAAAGACATGAAAATTTATCATAAAACTAACTAATAACGAGAACTTCATTAAAATGTGAATACTTTACATAAATTTAACAAAATTTAAAATGTATTTTTTGAGCAAAACATCAATGTTTCTACTATTACCAACAAATGTTTCATTGGATAAAACTTGAAATATAAATTGTAATGTCTTTAATGGTGAGAAGAATGTAAAGAAACATGTGTTCCTTTGAAGAAGGGAATATTAAATTCGCTCGTCTCTTGTGTGCATTAATGTGAATTATGCAAGGAAGATGGTTCTAAATGGGCCCTAATCCCACCAACCTGTGAGCCGCAGCCAAAACGGCTTTCGAACAAAGCGCGCACAAGATAAGAAGATGAAGAAAAAAAGAGAAGTATATATACACAATCGAGTTCGACGCGTTTGGCTTCTTCCGCAAACACACGGAAGAAATATGTTCGTACATGAAATAAACTCGAGCTCGTTATTTTCATAGCCTCCCCCGATCTTTCATCCTTCCCACCCCAAAAAAAAAACCGCATTTTTTCCACCACGTTCTTTGCTGAAGGGCCACAATTAGTGGAGAGAGAATGTCGTAAATCAAGGAGAGATTTGTTTGAATGGAAAGTTTATAAAAACGCACCAATAGATGGCGTAATAAAATTTTGTTGCAATTTCGTTGGTTGTTAGTGAAATTTGAATGTAATTAGTTTCGTATCAATTAATTTCGTGGCAATTTTCGGTACTATAATAAAAATTGATTTTTCATGTAATTAAATTTTGAATTTTCTTGGTGTTTCTTCTTTGAAGGGATGCTCCTGCGGTGGCGGCGGAGGGCGGTCGTGCGGATGCTGAGGCGGCGAGAGACAGGTGGGGCGATATTGATCGCTCACCTGCCGCCCCACACGGTCGACGCACATATATGTACATAAAGCCGGAGTTGTACACGCGGCATTAAACATGTATGATGCACATACCGCCGCCCTCTCTTCTTCCCTTTCACCCCCCTTCTCTATATAACCCGTATAAACATAGACGCGAACACCGGGCGGCGGCGGCGCATAATCCTGTTGATATTTTCGAAATATACATTGTGATAAAATACATGTGTATATGCAAAGCGCCTTTTAATCCTGCAGGCCTGAAACACTGCAGGAATTACCTGGACAGACGGTCTACGGGTTAGGGGGATGCAGAGGCAGCAGCAGCAGCGTCGACTCTCTCGTTATTGTTTTCGAAACAACGAATAATTAATAACAAAATCCACGCGCGCTTCGATTTAATCCCACTCATCGTTACAGCATTTTTGTTTGTTTCATTTGGTAACTGCTGAAGTAACAGTTGGCAACACGTAACAATAGTTACTAACTTAATATGAAAATCAATCTAATTAGTTTCCAGTTTAATCTTCAAATTTACTAAGAAATATTTTACTAAGTTTAACAATAAAACTATTGTCAACTTATTTTCCTAACAATAACGTTAAGATATTTCACTCACATTTCATCATACCAATATAATTAGACCCAATTTTACAAATGTTACAACTAATTTGATTTAAAAAAAAACGTTTTTAAATAAATCCATGAATTTTTTTTTTTAATTCTGTTTATTTTTTATTTACAGTTTTCACGAGCGACAATAAAATGTCGATGCAATTTATACGATTTTCTCTCCCCCACACACACAAACATTTTATCGTCTCATTTCGATGATCGACTCTATTTTTAGTCGCCGCAATTTCACGTTCTGCATTCGATAGAAAATACTGCATTTGGTAATTTCCCCAAAAGTAATTACAAATAAGAAAAAAGTTACAGTTCGAAATGAAAAGACGGGGAGAGGAAAGTAGATAAATAATGGAGAGAATATATAAAGAGGACGCGCGTTGTTTCTTTATGCATCTACTTCTACCTCTTCTTCTTATTCTTAGGGAAATCCTTTTGTAAAACTAATTAACTTACCGAGAACGAAGAGGCTGCATTTTCCGCGAAAGGAATTTCAGTAATCTGCAAACAAAAACCTTTTTTCAGTTTTAATTTTATATTTTTTTTTTTGCTTCTTCATATTTTCATTGTTTTCCTTTTGCATGTAAATCGCGTCAAAGTTAATTACACTTTATGAATTACGCGAAATCTTTATTCGGAAACATTGCAAACTTAACTGTTCTTGTTTTTATTTGAGTAGTGGCGTCTTCTTAGTGAATTGAAATACTTTACTTTATAACTGAAATATGAACATTTTCAGCAATTCTGAAAAAAAAAACATTTTCAGTTTTATTTTGTATTTTACTGTTCATCATATTTTCATTTCAATACGTTACTTTATAACTGAAATATGAAAATTTTCAGCAATTTTGAAAAAAAGCATTTTCAGTTTTATTTTGTATTTTATCATATTTTCATTTCAATACGTTACTTTATAACTGAAATATGAGAATTTTCAGCAATTCTGAAAAAACAAACATTTTCAGTTTTATTTTGTATTTTATCATATTTTCATTTCAATACGTTACTTTATAACTGAATATGAGAATTTTCAGCAATTCTGAAAAAAAAAAACATTTTCAGTTTTATTTTGTATTTTATCATATTTTCATTTCAATACGTTACTTTATAACTGAAATATGAGAATTTTCAGCAATTCTGAAAAAAAAAACATTTTCAGTTTTTTTTTATTATACTTTATATTTTCAAACATTCAAAGATTTTTTGTTTGCAAAATACTTCTTATCTGTTGAAATGGCAGGTCAAAAAAACAGAAATATTTCTTATCACAATGCTGCTATCAAACACGTCTGTACAGCTCCGTGTCCCGAATCGAAAGGTAAGATATGGGTACAAATATCTATTTTCACTTTTAAATAAATAAAAAAAAGCAGAGGGTTGTTTCTCCTAAGGTACAGATCAATCCAGACAATCAAAGGGACAAAAATCCTAAGATGTCCATAATAAATTTAACCTATAGTGCGTTGATGGCCGCGAAGGAGATATCCGAGACATGTCGTAGACTAGAACAAATTGGAGGCATACAATTAGCACAATATTTCGATGAAGTTTACGTTCACGCAAAAAACCTGGTGGAAATTCTTAAATGGAAAGATCTGAAATTTGAAATCAAAAGGATCAAGAGATTGCAGCATTCTTCAACGTGCACCGCGAGGAAATTTGAGATAAAAACTTTATACTTAAAAGCGGACATACAAGAATTTTATAATATTTTAGGACGGATCTCCAAGCATTTGTACAAAAAATTTCGCGCGGTGAAGAAGTCCAGAGAACCGATGACTCCATTAGAAAGAAACGAGTTGGTAATTCGCTTTTGCGCCAACACACAGGACTTATTTGAAGTCTGGGAGGAGCTGTACCAGAGGTTAACAGATCTAGAAGAAACGATCCACACCGACGTAATAGGAGAAGACCCATTCAAACAAATACACGAGTTTTTTGTTCATAGCAGAAACGCAGAAATACAGGAACCTCCCATTTCGACGTATGCAGAGGCCAGAGAGTGTCTGTTAATAATAAGGAAGAATAACAGAAAGTTAAATCTGATTCTGCGAGAAACGGATTTCGAACTGTCGGATTTAGAATTAGAAAGATTTAAATTTATCAAGGATGCCTTGGAAACCAGATTCGCTGATGAGAACATATTGACCAAGGCGTATCGAAAATTCAAGACATTTGAAAAGCTGAGCACCAAATTTAGTCAGAAATGTAAGAGTTTCCGCTTAGAAAATGTCAAAAAATGTGTGGAACTTGATGAAAAAATAAAGACGTTTTTGTCTTCAGGGAATATATTTCTGCCCGATTTATTGAAAGAAATGACGCATTTCTTTGCAAAAGTCTTTCATGAGTACAAACTGCACACTAGCGAATTTAATCAGTTAAAGATGGGATTAAAGGAGCACTGGGATTTGTACACTTCAACCCAAAGATAACTTTATTAGTGTTAAGTAGTTTAGCCATTATGTAAAAGAAATACAAAACTTATAAATACTTATTGAAAACACTAAAATTATGTTCACAATTTGCTTCATAATCACCATAGGTCATTCTGACCTAAAGATTTCTCTTTTCAGTAATTGAGTTACAAACTTTTTAGTAATTGAAATTGTTGTATTTTGTGCATTAGCAATGTTAAATAAAGTTGATTGACCAATTATTATTTATTTACACTAATGATAAAAACATCCTTATTTCCATCTTTCTTTCCACAAATTACGTTAATGATGCATGCTTTTCCATAAAACTAATTATAAACACAAGCAAAATATAAATTATTATAATATAATTATGATTAAGAAAAATTTAATTGATTTTAACAAAAATTAGTAATTTTTCTATAATTAGATGTAATCAATAATGTTTATACAAATTTGAAAATTTGTTTTCTTTTGCAACAAAAAAATGTTTGGTTTAAGATTTTTTTTTACGTTTTTCTTTTCAACTAAAATGATTAGTTTTTCTATAATTATATTCATTTTATAATTAACAATAATTGAGATTTAACATTGAAATTTTCTAAAATTTGTTGTTACAACTTCACTTCTTGGTGATAGATTATAAATCTTTTAGAAAAAGTACGGGTTGAAAGCAGGTACAAAAATTTAAATCCCATACATTTCTTAGAAAATTACAATAATATGGCATGTTCTATTCATGTTGAAAATGTGCTAGCTACATTGATGGTACCACCGTCCATCGAAGAGTTAAGAAACTGAAATTGTATGGAGGAAAAGGCGTAATTTTTATATTTTATACAATAGTCTTGATATTAGGATTTATACGCGTAATACAAAAATTGATTCGTTTCTTCGAACTTACAATGGTTTAACTTACTTTAAAGAAATCTTTATAAGTGATTTCTCATTCTAGTAATTCAGTAACAAAATTTTCAGTTTTTTCTAATTGAAATTGTTGTGCTTTGAGCATTAACAAAGTTAAATAAAGTTGATTGACAATATATTATGTAATTACATAACAAGATCCTTATTTAAATGTTTCTTTCCACAAATTACGTTATAAATATGATCGTTTTTTTCAGAAACATCTCATTCCAGTAATCCAGTAACAAAATTTTCAGTTTTTTTTTAATTGAAATTATTGTGTTTCGTGCATTAACAAAGTTAAATAAAGTTGATTGACAATATATTATGTAATTACATAAAAAGATCCATATTTCCATGTTTCTTTCCACAAATTACGTTATAAATATGATCGTTTGTTCAGAAACATCTCATTCTAGTAATTCAGTAACAAAATTTTCAGTTTTTCTAATTTAAATTGTTGTTTTTTGTGCATTAATAAAGTTAAATAAAGTTGATTGACAATATGTTATGTAATTACTTAACAAGATTCTTATTTGCATGTTTCTTTCCACAAATTACGTTATAAATATGACCGTTTATTCAGAAACATCTCATTTCCAGTAAATCAGTAACAAAATTTTCAGTTTTTTTAAATTGAAATTGTTGTGTTTTGTGCATTAACAAAGTTAAATAAAGTTTATTAACAATTTATTATGTAATTACATAAAATATCCATATTTCCATGTTTCTTTCCACAAATTACGTTATAAATATGATCGTTTATTCAGAAACATCTCATTTCCAGTAATTCAGTAACAAAATTTTCAGTTTTTTTTGATTAAAATTGTTGTGTTTTGTGCATTAACAAAGTTAAATAAAGTTGATTGACAATATATTATGTAATTACATAACAAGATCCTTATTTCCATGTTTCTTTCCACAAATTACGTTATAAATATGACCGTTTATTCAGAAACATCTCATTTCCAGTAATTCAGAACAAAATTTTCAGTTTTTCTAATTGAAATTGTTGTGATTTATGCATCAACAATGTTAAATAAAGTTGATTGACAATATATTATATAATTACATAACAAAATCCTTATTTCCATGTTTCTTTCCACAAATTACGTTATAAATATGATCATTTGTTCAGAAACATCTCATTCCAGTAACAAAATTTTCAGTTTTTTTTAATTGAAATTGTTTTGTTTTGTGCATTAACAATATTAAATAAAATTGATCGACAATATATTATGTAATTACATAAAAAGATCCTTATTTCCATGTTTCTTTCCACAAATTACGTTATAAATATGTTCGTTTGTTCAGAAACATCTCATTTCCAGTAATTCAGTAACAAAATTTTCAGTTTTTTTAATTGAAATTGTTGTGTTTTGTGCATTAACAATGTTAAATAAAGTTGATCGACAATTTATTATGTAATTACATAAAAAGATCCTTATTTCCATGTTTCTTTCCACAAATTACCTAATAAATATGATCATTTGTTCAGAAACATCTCATTCCAGTAACAAAATTTTCAATTTTTTTAATTGAAATTGTTGTGTTTTGTGCATTAACAAAGTTAAATAAAGTTGATTCACATTATAATATGTAATTACATAATAATATCCTTATTTCCATGTTTCTTTTCACAAATTACGTTATAAATATAACCGTTTGTTCAGAAACATCTCATTTCCAGTAATTCAGTAACAAAATTTTCAGTTTTTTTTTAATTGAAATTGTTGTGTTTTGTGGATTAACAATGTTAAATGTTAATTGACAATATATTATGTAATTACATAACAAGATCCTTATTTCTATGTTTCTTTTCACAAATTACGTTATAAATATGAGCGTTTCCTAACATTGTTTTAATGATATTTTTCTTGAAGATTTGTGTATAAAAAGAACAACAAGTATAGGATTTTTCGCAAATATTTGTTTTCATCTAGTGTAAAATTCTTAGAAAAAGTACGGGTAAAAAGCAGGTACAAAATTTGGGTGCAACCTGCATTTCCCTTGTGCACGTTTGGGTATAAAAGGGCAGGGTGTTTTCAGCAACGGCACAGTTCGAATCAATCGCTCGACACGAACGGATCGTAAGAAATGCAACCAATCCAAGAGAATGTTGCCACCGATAACCAAAGGAGGAACATTACCACCTTGCAATTACTCAAGGACCTGCTGTGGGTGTGTGAAGATATGAAGTCGGATTTAACAAGTGAAAGAAAATACTTTATGGAGGAGACGAACAAGGTTCTCCAGCACGCTCGAAATCTGCAAGTGATTCTGAAATGGAAAGACCTGACGGACGAATTCAACAGGATCGACGCTCTGGTGCCGCCGAAACTTTCGAACATCGCCTATCACAGGAAGATTAAGACCAAGTCGAAATGCGTCTTGAGGGACATCCAAGAATTTCACAAAACTTATATCACCAACACCGATACTTTGATTGAGTGTTTCACTGACGCGAAGCGGACGAGTTATCCGAATAGATCCCTGCTTCTTCAAAGCCGCGTCTTAATCATTCGCTTCACCAAACACCTAGCGGAGATAGTGGACATTTGGACGGAGGTGAATTTGAGGCTGAAAACTTTGGAGCAAATAATCCGAACGGGTAAGGCTGAAGAGAAACATCCACTGAGAGAATTAGAAAGTATTTGCGAGCATTCCAAATCTATAACGGGGAACGAGAAGGATCTTATAACTCTTAGGAAACACAACAGAACGGTTAATAATATATTGAGAGAAACCGATTTCGAACTTACGGATATGGAATTAACTGAGATTCAGCTCTTAAGAGATACTGTAAACAGCGTTGAATCTAAGAAACGGTTGACGCAGTTCGAAAAAGAAATGGCGACTTACAAGGAGATAACCGTACAGTTTCGCGTGGACAATTGGAAAAAGTGTGTCCAATTTGATGAGACTTTCCTTCAGAATTCGGCTACCGAGAACGTTTATCGTCCTGATGAAAATCAGGACGTTTTCATTGCTAATCAGATGAAATGTTTTTTCCAGAAAGTTCTTGAACAGTACAAGGAGGTTGTTAGTCATAAACGTTTTATCGAGGATCAATTTTATGAACTTCACAGATTCTGCATGTAATTCAAACATTTACTTTATTTGTATATCTCTTTATTTTATTTTTTTAAACTTTATTTTGCATGCGTATAATCATTTTTATTTTGATAATATTTTCAATTAGTTGTAGTTTCTTTATTTTATATGTATTAAGTATTTTAATTATCCTACGTATTACAACAATTATATAAGTAAATAAAAACATAAAATCAAATCAATAACAAAGTTTTCAGAAAAAAAATACAAGCTTTGATCAGTCCGGATTCACTATAGTCCGGTTTGACAATTCAGAAACAATACAAAATTCAAATTTTGCTCATACATTTTATTGCCATTCAGTCAAGTCTGCTTATTCCTTGTACGTATTTACATACTCGATTAGTAACCAATTACCCGCACTGTACGAAATATTGCTGTATATAATATAATTTTTGATATTTCTACAAACTAGACTTTTCAATTCGAAGAGAAAAAAAAAATAACGGTTGTTTAAAAGTGTTAAATTAATCTAGAAAAGGAACTGAAATTTGACCTTATGCATTAAACCGACAACCGAAAGACCGTCTATTGAAATCCCGACGTTCAAAATCCCGACTGTATCAAAATCCAGACGTTCGAAATCCCGGTTGGCTCAGAATCCCGACGAAAATCGAAATCCTGACTACAATAAAAAAATATTGTAGAAATTTATAATAATAAAAGACACTGTGGGGATTTCGATATAGTCGGGATTTCGAACGTCGGGATTTCAATAGACGGGATTTCGGTTGTCGGGCTTGCGATTGCCACCGATTAAAAACATATTGAAAAGTGTAGTTTTATTAACTTTGAGTATTTTTTTGTAAATAGTGAAAGGAATTTAGTACATTGAAAAAAATACAATTATGCCCCCGATGTTAAATATAATCATGATTGAGCCGAAATAAAACGAATATGAATTTCTTCCAACTAACTTTAATTTTTTTTGCAATAATTGGAAAAATCAATGTAAATTATTGATTATTAAGAAAGTAATGTAAAAACTGAAAATTTTGTTAAAAATAAATCTTTTTATGTTTTTTCTTTAACAATTGGATAAAATCTCTCACATGAACTAATTTATTTCAATATTTTGATGAGAATGTTCCATAAATGTCAAATTAATGAAGTTCAGCATATGGACCTTCAGCCAAGTCAATGATAAAGTTAACTTTAATTTTTTTTTGCAGTAATTGGAAAAAATCAATGTAGAAATTATTGATTATTAAGAAAGTAA